CAGTAATATCGATTAGCTACAAGCGTTAACGCGGTGAGTTGACATCAAGCGTGGAAAAGAGCAATAGCGCGCAGCGAGCGAAGCTCAGCGCACAAAAGGCGGCATGAGTCAGTGCAGTTGCTCTGGGCGACGGATTCCTACGCCGTTTGGCAGCAGTAACACTCAGCCCGCAACCTACTTCCCGTTTAAAATGGGGAGGACATTTCTGGGGTTTCAAAACTGTTCTCTCATGTGGATAATTCAACAGTTATGCTCTTCCTCATCAGCAAATGCCTTGATAGTACACGGTCACCTTTCTCATAAAAGAGTTTTACGAAATAAGAAGTGCACTGAACACGACCCACATGAGGTTAAAGCTGGGTATCTTCAAAAAAATGTTCCAGAAATTTAAAGCATCTTTTCCCAGGTGCAAATATGAAGATGGCGAAAACTGCAGAATTTATTGGATCCATGAATTTCAAGAGTGCTTGTCAGCTGCTACCTCTCATTGCATAATGTGAGTAACGAATGAGAAAATACAAAATCGAATTCATACAGAAAGGTCAATAAGGTCATAGGGCATGGTAACGAAGGCTAATTAGTAAAGCAAGCAAGTTAAAACAACGTGGAAAGAAAAAGAGGAAAAGCGTTAAGGCGAAAAGGTGGGGAGGAACTGTGTAAATCAGAGAGCCGAATGTTAACAAGGCAAAGTTAGGTTAACCACATGCTCCAACTGTTTACATAGGTCAGGTTTTGACCGCCAAATATAGTTTGCGTCCGGGTAGCGCAAGGTATGAGTTTTTCGTGCCCGAACAAGTACTTGGAAAGAAGTTTTAGGGTCCGCGGAACGACCCTTATCTAACAAGTGTTCACTAATGGAAGACCGGAGGTTTTATTTTCCTGTTTCAATAGCCAACTAGGCAAGTGCTCCTTGGCTCTGGCTGCCAATTGCCGTTTGCAATCCAACTAAGCCTTACCAATTTCTTGTGTAAAGGATGCATTTCTATTGCACGCCGCTTCCAATTGTGTTTACGAATTTACGTGTACTTGCGGATGCAAGTACATAGGGCGAACGCAACGGCATGACGTTATTGACCTTTCTGTACTGATTCAATTTTGTGTATTTTCTCATTCGTTACATTATGCAATGAGAGGTAGCAGCTAATGAGCACTCGAAATTCATGGATCCAATGAATTCTGCTGTTTTGCCATCTTCAAAAACATGTCTGTTATAACCTTGCGTCTGCAGTGGTCACCTGCGTCGCCAATTGTTATAACCGTGGTTGATCTCACCTGCGTCGCCACTGTTATAACTTTGTGTATTCCTGTGCCAACACTGGTTATGTCCCCCAGTTACATTCTAGGAAGAGAAGGCAGAACAGGATAGCAGATAGTACTTTACTGTTACTAGTC